ACCGATGGACCGACCTGGACGACTTCTCCAGCGAAATCAACAATAGGGACTGCGTTTCTCTTGAAGAACGTGGGCCAGCGCATAAGGACGAGATCGAGAGGATTTAGGACGGCATAGGAGACTTTGATCAAGAGATTGCCAGCTTTGGGAGGTGCGGGGGTAGGCCATTCAGTCTTGAGGTCGAGAGCGTCTTTCGGGTCGCCAGACCGCGCTACAATCCATGCTTTCATTGAACCCGGGATCGGTACCATTTTTGACAAGCGTACTATCGGTGGAAGACTTCTGAATGATAGGAAGAGTGGCTCGGGATGCCTTGCTCTGCTACGTTCTGCGCGGCCATCTTTTTATATTGCCCACGGAATCTCATTATGGCAGAAAGTCATAGTGAGGCTGTTTGTAAGCCATGAGTTAAATCGTATGGCGCATCTATAGGCATGAGTCGTGTAAAGCGGATGGGCATGCCCAAATAGGACGTCTTCGCTCAAATGCTTAGGTAAAGAGACTTGCTTAATACGCATACTGCGCACTAAGCCACCTTGGGCGACGTATCTGCATTCCCTTTTCGTATCTGCGCCTAATTAGGCAGTTCTTTCCACCAACATCAACCTGACCAGCCCTTGAACACATCACCTAAGTCTTCGAAAGCAGACGCATCGTTACTGGCCTACAGTCATGTCTAGCGACCGCGCCAATGCAGATATGACTGTCGCCGTTGACAGTGGCAAGGTCATGACCGGAGAGCGGCAGTCGCGACGGCGACGTGCCTTGCAAACGAGAGCCCGCACAGGCTGTGAGCGCTGCCGAGTACGACGGCGAAAATGTGAGTTTGGGGCCACAATATACGTGTCATTTGTGTATAAAGGCAAGGGGCGCATTGGATTCCCTCTCGCTGACACGTAGGGTACCTTGTAGGTGATGAGCAGAAACCAAAGTGTGGTCGCTGTAGGGAGGCCGATATGGAATGTCGCTATGTCACGCATGTCTCGTTTCTTAACAAGAATGCATTGACACTGCCTCCTTCCATAGCAACTGAAGAGTCGAGAAGCCAGGGATACTCTGGATTAGAGGTGAGGTGGTATTCTCTGGTTTCTACTTAAGAGTTTCATTAACAGTACTTCAACTTCCTTAGTTTGTGATCAACCCGCATTCGGATTCGCGAGCAGAGATGGCCGTATCACGGTCCTCTCCTCCAAACCATAATCGTGGCGAGGGCCATAATGAGCAAATAGCGAGCCTGAATTCTAGGACCGAGCATCATCGCCGTACTCAAAAGCAATTCATCGGCACCAATAGAACTGATGTATCGCGCGTAGCATTCAGCCCTATTATGATGCAGGGGTCTCACAGCTCCAATTCGAAAGGCTCAGAGCAGACTACTGGCATTGCTGCTACAGGCGACGTCAATTTTGATCGTCCGACCACTATGTCATCGTCCCGAGCGCTGCCCGTACATGATGACCAGTTGCGAGTAGCTACATCACCCAGACATCCAACCCACTCAAACACGACGCCAACTACGAGCTCAGCATCCGAGGAGATTATTCTCACATCGAGTAGGATACGACTTTTGAGTCACTTCACTTATGCTATCGCTCCCTGGGTGAGCCAATACACTTTCTTCTCATCAAGCCGCTCTTTAGAGCCAATGCCCGTTTGCTTATTCTTCATACAGCTGGACATTTATGATCCAGGAGAGACTTTGGGTCTGCGCATCCCGCGACTTGCTATGACTTCACCACTCGTCCTTGAAGCTGTACTAGACTTATCCGCGGTTTCGGCCGGGACGTATGTGGAAGGTTCAGGCAGGCTGAGTAATTCCCTACGATTCCGGGACATGTTTCGCGAGCCGGCACAAATATCAGACTTCGCTGCTCTTCAGCTGCTTGTTGTTTCTGTGCTCATGAAGACGCGGCCCTTCGTGGAATCGGTCTCAGACACGTGGGAGCCTATTTTTACTGCTGGAGGCACTCGCCCGGACTTCACCCGAAACTTCGAGGATGTGAATCATCATAGAATTTGGTTTGGCCTTGTAGTCTTGATGTCTAGACTCGGTATGATACCTGTTATCTTCCTCATTTAATCTTGTCTTTTCAAAGAAACTTTGTGGCTAATAAAGATGTTCTGAAAGAGCTATCATATTCACTCATGTACGAGATTGCTCCTTCTATGGATTCCGATATTCTTTATGATGTTCTGAGAGAATCAGAAAGGTTGGTAGACAAGCCAGATCGCAAGCAAGAGTCTCTTCATGCTTCTCTTCGATGCCTTGCCATTCTAGCCGATGTGACGAGCTTATGTCTGCAGCGAGCGGATCATAGCGCAACCAGGTCTCAATTCGAAATTAACCTTCAGCACTTATCCAGAGCTGAAAGATGGAAACAGCTTTGGGGTGAATTGAAGACATGGCGCGCCACCTGCCCTTTAGAACTTCAGAGTTTGGCACATCATGAGCGTGCTGGAGCTTCGTTTCCGACCATACTATTCACCAGCTGGGCTGGTCTTTCCACGAACATTATCTACCATGCTGCCATGTTCCTCTTGCTGGACCACCGGCCTCGGACAGGGCCCAAAGACGATAGCTTTCCGTTAGACACGGGCGCCGCTTATGTGTCCCCGATTTGGCACGCGCGGCGCATATGTGGGATCGCGTTGAGCAGCGATCTGCGATACCGTCCGTGCTGGGATCCGTGCATGATCGCGGCTTTCACACTCGTCGCGCGGCGTATGACACACCCGGATCAGCAGACTGAACTGCTGAAATGCGTACAGGGCATGAAGGCTTCAGGATGGCGGGTCGACGGGCTGACTACTAGCCTCCGGCGTGATTGGGGGCTATTCGACCCCGATATCATTACGCCTGTATAATTATTTGACGGTAGTTGGTATATGATCACTATGAACCTGAAAGTCAAGCAAGAAATATTATCACTTCTGGAGAAAAGGGTTAAGGGTCTGCCAGTAAACGCGGCTCGAAGCTGGGGATGGAGCAGAGTCGAGGTCTCCGGCGCCTAGCGAGCCCGACTTTGCAACACCTTGTTATGGCCAAAAGCTCGGACGCAGACCAGCGTCTCGTCGGAACTCAGGGCCGGTTGTCATGCTCCGGGGCCAAACCAGCTCTAGACTCTTGCAACACATGCGTGCCACGACCATATCTTCATTCGCCCTGGAAACTGAGATACCCTCGTTGTCAGTCTCCGGCCCTGCAAACCTACCATGCTACTCCTTGTGTCGGTTTAATGGAGCTGGCGTCTGCATTCTAGAGTTTGAAGGGCTTGGCCTGGGGTGGCACAGGGATTGTAAGTGGAAGCCAAGCCTAGGAGTGCGGAACGTGGAGGCTCCGCGTCTAGCCTCATTCGCAACCACATCGCCATGACCTGGTTACTGTGGATCAATAAATTTGCATTGTGGTTGCATTCCCAGGATTGGCACCGAGAGCCTGGTGAGTGGAGGATAATTGTCTATTTCGTGGGGTTGGCACAACCCGGTACCCGGCAGAGTGTCATATGAAGCGCTTTAATATAAAAACACATTGACAGCCCGGCTCCAGAGATGTCAGTGGGATAATACCGGAAACTGCATCACAGGTAGCCGGCAGCGAATAACGAATATCACTTGTCTATAACACGAAAACAAAAAGATGAAGACTTCTGGTATTTTGGCTGGTGTCGCCAGCATCTCGCTGGCTTCGGCTCACACCATAATGGTGCAACTGCAGTCAGGAGGAGTTACAAATCCTGTCAGCTATGGTATTCGGACACCATCCTACGACGGACCTATCACCGATGTGACATCCAATGATCTGGCGTGCAATGGTGGCCCGAATCCAACTACCCCTTCAGATAAAATCATTCAAGTCACAGCCGGATCAACCGTCCAGGGCATTTGGCGACACACCCTAACGTCCGGTGCGGACGACGTCATGGATGCTAGCCACTTGGGCCCGACACTCGCGTATATGAAGAAGGTATCAGATGCTACTACAGACGTTGGTTATGGCAGTGGCTGGTATGCTATATCCGTCATTCCTCGGGCGCCCAACTTGCTTATATAACTTAGGTTCAAGATCCAGGAGGATGGATACAGTGGTGGTGTCTGGGGAACCTCCAAGGTTATCAATAACGGGGGTCTTCACTCTATTACAATTCCCAAATGCATCCCGAATGGCCAATACCTTCTACGAGGCGAGATGATTGCTTTGCATGCTGCGGGCTCTTCAGGCGGTGCTCAGCTCTATGTGAGGACCTCTAATTTCATATTGGGGGCAATACTGATATGTGATGACAGATGGAGTGCGCTCAAGTGAATGTCACCGGCGGAACAGGCACAGTTAGCCCAACAACATATAGTATTCCTGGAATTTACAAGGTGGGAACACTCTCAGATTATCTATCCCCACTGACTAACAAATCTCAGGCAACTGATCCCGGCATTCTTATCAACATCTACACAATGACTTCTTCGAGTACCTACACTATCCCTGGACCGGGGCTATTTAGCTGCGACGGTTCAAGCACATCACCAGCTTCCAGCACGACCGCGAAGCCGACCAGCGCGACGACACTCAGCACCAGCACTAAGAGCTCTGCTGCGGCAACGAGCAGCGCACCATCAACTGGCAACTGCGCTGCCCTGTATGCTCAGTGTGGCGGCACCGGCTGGACAGGCGCCACCTGTTGCATTTCTGGCACATGCAAAAAATCGAACGACTACTATTCACAATGCTTGTAGGGAACTATGCTTGTATGATCTTGGGTGGGCCAATGGGAGTCAACATTCGTGTGTACATATTTCATGTTGACCTGATATCCCGGCTGCATTTCGAGATGTATGCAATGTTTAGATACACATAAAACCAGCCACAATTTGAGATACCCTCAAAGGAAATACCCAATTACCTATCCCATACAATCGATTTGTGACCATGTTGTTGTACCTTTGGATTCCACCCAACTCCAGTTCGCACGAATACATAGCGCCAGCGCAAATATCCTCATATCGCTTTAGAAGCCGCCAGTTCCCTGAAGCCTTTTGACCGCACCGACGATCCCTGTCGTCCAACTGAATCTGCCTGGATCTGGGCCGATAGCTCCCTTAGCTTTGTTACCATCCTTATCTCGCCACTCGCCATCCTCCTTGCTCACAGCACCATACAGATGTGTGTTTTGGTTCCTTCGTAGGCCATCGATCCAAGCTCGACACACATCCGGATTGTCAAGCAAGACGTTCACCTCCTGACTGTGAAACCAACTTTGAGTATCCTGATTGCCACTACCGACAATGCCAATGTGCTCGTCGACAATCATCAACTTGATGTGACAGCTCCGCTTCCGCATGGACTGATGCACAGGTTTAGTTTGGTCCTTACCCACATACCAAAACCAGTGCAAGTGCTGACGTCCAGCGTCGGATATAGATGTGTATAAATGGTTCACCACCATATCGTTATGTCCGCCCTGCATGGGGAGCAACTCTCCCTATATACCATTAGTGGAGAGAATAGTTTGATTCCGAGAGTACTTGCCGCATCATTATAGCCTAGACAGACATAACAGTAGACATCAATGCCTCGCTCGCATGCCTCAATAATAGCCGGTATAAGGGGCTCAGCGTTTACAGTCGGAGACTGAATGAACACATTCTTTTTCGCATTTCGCAGCGCACATAACCACGCTGCGTTCTGTGGTGTCGACACTGACTTGTGATTTGGTGTGCCGTAAGGTGGGCGGTTGACCATAGCAATAGGGAAAGGCTCGTGGGGTGGGTGAGGAATGTAGGGGGTCATCTCTTCCTCTGGTGCACACTCTGGGGCGTCATATGGGAATCCAACGTTGATAGTATGGTTCAAATGTCGGTTGACGGCCTGCATTCGCGTCTCTCCTGGCTTTGCAGATACAGCAGTCTGCACGCGTGCGATTTCTCCAGCAATATCCTCATCCCAATGTGGATCATCTGTGGTGTGTTCTGGAAGAAGATTGCCCTGGGGTGACGGATCCTGTATTTGCGATTGAGGGATTTCTTGATTTCCGGTATTCAGGTATGCCTTCGTGTCACGATCCGCTTCATTGCTCGGAGTGTCCCCTCTTTCTTGCGTACCCTGTTTACCGGCCGCTGCCGCCTGTTCCTGCTCGTTACTTCCACCAGAATTGCCTGCCTCCTCTTTTCGAGGATGTGGATGGGTAAGGCTGGCCGTTGTTGTTGGTCCCGTGACAATATCGGCACGGTCATGGTTCTCATCACCCTTCTGCTGTCCATCAGATACGAGACCAGGTTGGGTCACTTGTTCATATGAATAAGCATCCCTCGGAGCCATCTTTTTGGGATCGACGATTGCATTGTAACCTTTGATTTGGCCATCAGGGCCAAATAAACTTTCGTGAACAGCACCAAAGCAACCGAGCCCACCCGCCACAGCAGGAGTATTATGGCTTGGCAGAGCAGGCTGTAGCTTCTTATGCCATGAGATCAGGGCCATATCGTACACCGAGTCAACAATGGGCCCCTCGAGATGCACCATCATTTCCAGATTGTCGTTATCCTGGATGTTGTCACTCTGAAGGATGGCGATCTTCCTGTCCACGACCATATACTTAGCATGGAATGTACCCAGCATCGGATGATGGTAGTTCATAACCTCGAGGTCGATGTTCGGAATCTCGTTTGGGTGTGGAAGACCGACGTCTTTCCCGGTGTAGGTCTTTTCAGGAACAATATAATGAGGTTCAATGAGTTGCTTGGGACTTCCTCTGTCATAAATGACTTTCACGACTACTTTGCTGCCCCTCTGGCCTGCTCGTCGGGAGAGTTCACGAATCGCATCGGAAATGAACTTTGAAGCGGTGCTGTTCTGCCAATAGTTTGTGGCAACAATAACTTCTTTCTCTGCTCGTACAATAAGATTAGACATGTGTCTTACAATATCCGGTATTCTATGAGGAGTTAGCCTCGATTTCTAGACTGATGACGTCTGTGCTCTCACGTAGATATGACGGTCAGAGGCATGACGCCACAAGATCCCATAAGCGATGGGCTCACCACCGCATGTGCGGGGTCCTCTTCAATTGAATTAATAGCATCATGGTATATCTGCGCTCATGTCAGACGCGACTTTCGATGTATCGGGAAAGTCTTCAAAGGCTCACTCTGAGGAACAATTCACTCGGCTGCGTCGGACCCCATTTTCCACACTTTGCTGCTCTTTCAAGAGCCTCTTTGGATGCCTCTCTCTTGCCGGCCTCATGGATTGAATGCGGACCAGTCAACTTCCCGGCGTGATGTTTGTATAGCTTCTTCCATGCGTCGGATGGAGCAAGTGTAGGCTCCTGTGCCAAGATAGTGGATACACTTTCAGATGATGTGCATAGATCGACCAGTCTATCACTGATCGTATCGGTGAATTGATTGGGCCCCATGTCGTTGTCGCGAGGTTCTTCCCGTTCACCCGCCTGAAGTAGCTGTCTCTGGCGCGGAACTGTAAGTGCGCTGTAGGGGAAGATGACGCAGACTTGGAACCAGAAATCAACGAGCGACTGGAGACTTTTGTAAAGGGTCATCCTGAAGGAGAAGAAACGGGAGCGAGGATGGTAGAAGACCAGCACGCAACCGTCATGATGAGCTATATGCACGATTCAATGGCATTTCCAACTTGGCAGCCATGAAATCACCGGTAGGGCCCCATTGGACGTTAGATCGTGCCCGTGCCAAGCTTTTGCCAAGGCTTGCGGCTAGCGGCAGGTTGGCGCCATTTGAGCAAGAAGTCACCTCTGGTAGGATTGCATCGGACGAGTGCGGAGAGATAAACTGGTATTTGTGCTTGTATCTAACTTAGCGACTTGTGTTGGGCTGAATCTGTGCTTACTGGTAACTCTGGGGAGTCTCGATGGCGGATGACGTCAAAGTCGTTAGCGAGGGGCGCGCGGCCACGCAACCTACTGGGCTAGTTCACGCCAACCCCGGAATTCGGCAACTACACAGATTCATCGTGACAACATCCTGTTATTAGTTCTAGGTCCATTGCCCGCTTCTTGGTATAGGCCTCTTCCTAGTTTAATGACAATCATGGCTACCGTTACCGTTGACCAACCTTCCCGTTGAGCTTGCCCGTCCAGGGCGTGTAAAGCCTTCGTAGGTACCACTTCGCTATTCAAGACTCTTGGGGTGTTACCCTTGCATCGGATGGTTTTCTGCGCTTCGCAGACTTGCTTGGATTTCCGTTGTCTGCTACCGGGATATCCCCGATCTCGCGCTTGAGAGAAAGTTCGCTCGTGGTCAGATGTGACACCGCGCTTCTTCCTCCTCCTAGAATATCAGCCTCGCAATTATGAAGACCATTTGACAAGTGTTGAGAGTCTTCAACGGCATGTACTGGCCCACTATTTGGCTCAGCCTTGATTAATTGTACAATTTCATTGAACCAAGACGTCGGCATCTTCTTAGCTTTGATCAACTCCATGTCGGAATCAAAATCAAGGTAGCGAGGCCCAATCAAACGCCGCTTGATCGTAACAGCAACACTTGCCGGAATATCGACCAAAGCATTGATCATATCGACCCCGGCATAGATAAAATGCTCTGTTACTCTTGCAGCAACTTGTGTTGGCAGTGAGGCGCTTTCAGGACCTTGCATAGCGAGTGACCAACAGTTCCAAGGAGAAGTTTCTCCCCAAAGCGGGGACTGAACTGTCGCATTTGGGTTACAGCCTTTGGATAAAAGGAATCTGATCATTTCCGGCGATATATTATGAGCAAATGAAGGCGAAGTTGAAGATAGCAAACAAGAAGACCATGGCTTCTCGATGGCATGGTACAACAGAGACTGCAGTCGGGCATCTTCAAAAGAGCATAGAGTCTCCCAGTGCTGGACAACACGAAGCATGTCCAATTCGACGGCGAGTATTAAAGGTAGGTGTTTTCTCACGTCGGCATAAGTGCCGAATTGTTTGTGTATCTCAAAGAAAAAGGGGTGATCAGTCGCAAAATCCATCTTGATCCCTAATAGACTAATGACTTCACAAGCAATGTGCGAAAAGTCGGACAGCATTGCGGCGGTTACCACAGGAGACTTGCAGTCCGCATATTGCGACCAGAGAAGACTTTCTCTTGTCAGTTCAATAACACGAACCACATGGCTCCCTCTCAAATTGAGACTAAGCAGGTGTAGACTCATTCTGGATAAGATAGCATTTGGCTCAAAAGCAGCGTCATTGACTTGCAGACATTCAAGTTCCCAAATGTCCGGGTTGCTCAGAAACTCAAGCACACTGCGATGCATAAAATTCACTGTCGAGTCCACAAGCCCGACCGTTTCGTCGTTCCTTATGTTATAATCTCTCGCTCGTTGTACCTCCAGCAATCCGCAGCATCTGCTTCTCAGGCGTGCTTCCAGCGTTTTGCATTTGATAACTTGAAACTTGGGCGAAAGTGACGCGTAATCAGGAAATTTGGTCATGTCCAAATCGTATTCGTCAACCAATGCTAATCCCAAAGTGTAAACACCTTCATAGGATGGGACGGTTATAACATGACTGCCGCTACTTAAAGCATGAGCGTCTTGTTCGCGGTTGACTTGCTTCCGGTATTTTTGGTAGCATACCCGAAGAAGCTTTGCCGCCTGAGTTTGGTAGCGAACCTCAACTTTGCTGAGCATGTGCTGGAAAAGCCTCTCAAGCTCTGGAGGCAGCTCATCGACTCGACGTTGGAGTTCATCGGGATAATCAGAGGCTGCAATTCCCTCGAGGACTGATCGGCAAGCCAAAACCACCCAAAGAAAGACACCGGATGCTTTGTCAACGAGGTCCGTGAGAATTCTCTTGACGGAGTTCGGGTATATCGACATAAGATCTTTTGTATATGGATGAGAACCAACTGTGTCGTCAACAAATGTTCGGATGTCGGGTCGAGTCAAATCTTGAAGCCGAAGTTTCGGCTTGCCAGAGAATGCCATCACACATTCTGGGATTGGCCTGCTAGAGACAACAACTTTGATATTTCCAGTTGAGACGAGACTGTTAATAAAATCGATGCTGTCCATATACTTTCCGGAATACTCGTCAAGACCGTCAATAAAGTAGCAAGACATAACCTGAATAGCCTCTCTCCGTAGTATTGAGAAAGCCTCTGCCATTTCGCCATATGACGGTAGGTGAAGGTCAGCCTTATCGCCTCTCTCAGCTTCGCGCCACATATTGGGCAGCATTCGTGGAATTAGACCAGGATCTGCACGGAGAACGGAGTATAAGAGTCCTCTGCAAAGCCCCCCTTGAGTTTTCTGCTCGGCTGTTCCAAGATTCCAGAAGAAGAACTGCGCCATTATTGAGCGTTGACCACCAGCCCATTTTTCGAGAAGTGTTTTGGTTTCTGATTGCTCAAAGAGATACTTCATGAGCGTCGACTTCCCGCTTCCCGCTTTGCCAGAAATCCAGTAGATTCCTGAACCAGACCGGAGCCATTCAGACAGATTATCCCACTTTGCCGTATCAGACTGTGAGGGGTGAAGAGCCCATCGAAAAGTGTTGAGGTGTGCATCGGCTACGTTATTCCTCCTGTCGTCAATGATTCTGTACCACAGCCGGTCGAGAACGCGTTGCTGACATCGCAGCGTGATATTCTTCTTTGCAAGATCTGCTACTGCAGATTCGCACCCTTCGGCTGCTACTAACAGCAGCTGGACGTGGCGAAGGTGCTGTATGTCATTGATGTCTTCCATGATCATCGTAGAGAGTTGGTTTGCGGCAACAGGAATAACAGCATTGAGTCTGCCGACAAAATAGGAAAGCTCCCGAACTAGGCTAGAAAACTTTTCCCTGTCTCTAACAGCCCAGCGGAGTCGTTTCCCGGTAGACGTCTCTTTCTGCGAGACTTGCTTTTCGATCTTGAGTTTCTTAAAGTCTTCTAAGAACTTTCTCATTTGCGGCCCGCTGATGGTTGAAGAAGTCACTGTCTCGGTCGCATCCACACACTTCAGAGCATATCTCTCCTGAAGGTCGCTACTGTGGCTTAGAAGCTGCTGGATCGTGGAAAGAATGTTGGAGACTGTTCGATTAGTCTCTGGGTCATCCAGGCGCTGGTCATATTTGAACGGTTGGAGAAGCCTAACACGATCGGCCCATTGCAGCAAGAGGAATTTCTCAATATCAAGTTTAGTGTTGAGAATCTGATAGTCACTCCCGAAAGATCTCGCTGCCGAGATATACGAGAAGAGATCTACACAGTCTTTGAACGTGCCCAAGAGAGTGACGGCTCCAAGGACAAGGCCAGCCACCTCTGCCATGATGGTTGCTGTCTTGTAAAGCCAAGAACACGACCAGGGAAATATTTTACGATTTGGTGAGACTGGCCCAGCCTTGCGCCGGCTACATCAAATACATTGCATACGATAAGTGAGGGGGGCCACACCATCCAGGACCAATAGTTTGCGTGTAGAGAGCTAAGCCACTCGAAGGCTGTTTAAACCCCGCTGCGGTCATGAACCTGCTGTGGTCAAGCCAGCCATTTCAGCTGCATACCTGGACATAACGCTCCTTTCTACTAATGACTGTGAATGTGTTAAGGCTGAGTGCTAATCTACGTGAGTTCGACTATCGAACTTTCTGCTGGCTCTGGGAACCATTAGCTGTGGGGGATTCGTTGATACTTCTAGGCTCAACAGGAACGATCCTGTGCATGGTCAAGTGAGAGCTGGGTTTGCAATTCTCAGAGCGCCTCTAGGACTTCTAAGGATAGTATAACGAGGCGTCCGTGCCTATGCAAGGTAACGAAGATGCTTAACGTGATCTCTATGGACGTTCACGGAAGTCGATTGAGACAAGCATTTGAGTACTGAAACAGTTCTATGCATAGTTATACCGCATCACAATGAACCCTAAGCCACGCCTCTCCAATATGTATCCAATGACGACAGCGCAATCACTCAAATAGTTCGTGAGAAGAAACCGTCTATAGCTCGCTAATCTCATTCTCCGCCTCGCTCTTCAGCTTTCCAAAGTTAGTGAAGCCAAGCTCATAGGTGAAAGCAAGGGTCATGCGAGCATGTTGAAGCATGTGGTCGAAGGACAGGTATTCGAGCTTATCATCGTTGCTATGGATGTGGTTGTCGGAGTATTCGAAGGCAGACTCAATGACAAAGGCGGAGGGGTATCCGGCCTTTGACGCGGAGGCGTGATCGGAGCAGGCGTAACCGCACTTTGTCTCAACGAACGGGATTGAGCAATACTGCAAGCTTATTAGTACCGAAGCTTACAACTTCAAGGCAGGTTCATATCTTACCTCAACAATGACCTTCTTAATGAATTCGGTCAGTTTCTCATTGACGAAGTCGATGATGACTCCAACGCTCTCAACCTTGCCAGCCTTTAGGGTGCGCTCAACGAAGCCGGTCATGTCTTGCTGCAGCATCGCCTTGACGTCGCGCTTGGCCTTCTCGTAAGTTGAGAAGATGGCCTGGCTACCCAGCAGACCGCCCTCCTCAGCGCTGTACCAGTGGAACTCAACAGTGTTCTCCAGCTTGCCGCTGATGAAGTCCTCGGAGCTCAGGAGCACACGGAACGCTTCCAGGATCGTGACGGTACCAGAGCCATCGTCATCGGCGCCTGGCGCAGGCAGGACGGAGGGCAACCACAGGTTGATGGAATCCTGGTGCGCACCGACGACAACAGTCGAGTTGGTCTTGCCGGGGATGGTTGCGATGATGGAGCTCTGGCCCCAAGTGTGCGGGAAAGGCTCTGCCTTGACCCCATACTCGTCAGCACCAGCATCGGAGATGATCTCCCTGATCTTGCCCAGCAGCCACTCAGACGACTGGCGGCCATAGTCGGACTTGTAGTAGCGAGTGTGGAAGGAGCTGAACTTTGCGAGGTTCTCCTTCATTTCTGACTTGGAGAGGTTGCTCAGCAGCGGGTTCACTTCGTCCTGGAGCTTCAGCTTGGTGGGGAAGACGGCGCTGTCGGCGGCGGCGGAAGCGAAGCGGGATGCGCCAAGGTCTGGATGCTCGGTGATGTCGAAGAAGCGCTGGCCGTTCTGATGATGATCATATTAGTGTCTCGTCTTGGAGATCTAGCTTGGTGCATTGTGATGGGAAGACTTACACGGCGCAGCTCCCACTTCTCCTCCTCAGTCACCCATCTCGTCTCACCAGGCGCCAGCTCAATGTGGTACATCTCGGAGGGATCGAGCCCCACATGGTCGAGCTCGTTGGTCTCGACGAAGCGAGCGCTGATCGCCGGGATCAGAAGCGCGGCTACGGAGGCTTTGGTGAACTTCATCTTGGAGTTCTGGTGCTGGTGTTTTGTTGAGGTTTGGAAGGTAAGACGAAGAGAGCCGCCAGGTACATGTGCACACTGGCCCGAGCTGGAGGAGCTGTGGCGGATTACGAGCACATGCCGCAATGGCGCAAGCGGCCCCAAACAGGCAGCTAATGGCACGACACGACAGGATCCCCACCCCAGCCAACCTACCTAGCGCATGACCTCTATCGATTAGGGCGGATAATACCCCGTTCCGGCGGCCGCTTGTACCTGAACGCAGCTACGTCAACCTTGGAACCTTGAATGGGTCGGACAAGCTCGTTAGTACGAATAGAGCTGTGGTGAGAAGTTATCAGATCGCAACATCTCCGCCATTATAAGCTCGTTGGTCGAGCATATACAAAGAGCTCTAAGGCATCCAAGGAACTTCTTTTGGCATTCAACTAACTAACTCAATTACCTACCTAATAGTAGGTAGCATACCTAGCTCAAGTGAAGTGCCGTTCTGTTTTGTCATCCTCGCGAGCCGCGCTTTCAAGGAGCTCCGGAAGGGCCCACCAGAGCTTCTCTCGGGACCGAATGTGGAGACGTCGACTCCAACATCATGGACTCGCCAAGATGCCGAAATGCGAGATCGACATCTGAAAGGGAGTGCATTCTCATATTGGACACTACCCTATGCTGAGCTATCAAGGAATAGCCTATGCCGTCTTGGACACGTGGGGAAACCCGTCCCCCAATTTAGGTTTGCTTTTGAAAACAAAGCTGTCCATGACGACACCTTAAATACGGCGTGTTCCCCATAGATCACCTGGGAATAAAACACCATCTTCGTAGTTAAAGTATACGTTCAGCTGGGCTGAATACACTTCTCACCTTGCATTTGGTCATCCTTCTCCTCCTTCAACGCCTGCGACATGTCGAACCAAAGCTCCGATCCGCCTGCGCGGAAAGCCAACGACATCATTGCTCGCGGTGTCAAGAAGCCAAACCTAGCCGGCACGGCAACTCTGATCGGCCTGCGCGCTCTCGACCCTCTTCTCCAGTATGAGATCCTGGCGAAGGGACTTGGGAGCAGCCTGCTCGCTAAACTGGGCCTGTCAACCGTCCCACTAGGCACTGCTCTTGTCGTCAAGACGGGCATCGCCGCCATCGACAACCTCGGCCTTCCGCTGCCGAGCCTGATTCTGCTGGGCATGTCCGTCGGGTCTGCCGTCAAGCAGATCTTCTGGCTGACATACATCTCGAAAGAGGATTTCCCGCCCTCGTCGGCCGTCTTCGTGTCGGCCTACAACTCCGTCGCAAACAGCATCTGCTCTCTGCTATTCGTCGCCGCTGCAACATCTGCCTCGCTCTCTACCTCTCTCAGCGTTCCACTGCTGGGCACATCCACCCGTCTTCCATTGCCTGTCGCTGTCGGCACGGCCCTGTATTTAGTGGGCATGATCCTAGAGGCCGGCTCCGAGGTCCAGCGGAAGTGGTTCAAGGACAAGCCCGAAAATGCAGGCAAGATTTGCACCGAGGGACTCTGGAGCTGGGCGCGCCATATCAACTATGGCGGATACACCCTCTGGCGTGCTGGGTATGCATTGGCCTCTGGAAGCTGGATAGCGGGCTTGGCTGTGGGAGCAGTGCAGGCCCTCCACTTTGTCAGGATTGGAATGGGCAATCTGGACTACTACATGTCCAACCATTATGGACAGCAGTGGGCCAGATACAAGCAGAACGTGCGATGGTCGTTGATCCCCGGCATTTACTGAATGTGAAGAGAGTGTGTCAGGTCGCCAGGAGATACGGGTGTCCTAAAATGGTATATATGTACTCTAGTGCTTATTATCAATGTAAGATGATGCCAACCCCCCATAGTTCTATATCACAAGAGCTCGAAACATAACTCCGTCTATCGCTGTCAAACGATGTATGGTGGTATCCGATATGTATCACACGCTACATGCTATCCTCCATCTGCCTACTTCGAGTCTTCGCCCAGCTGTCACGCTCCCCTTTACCGCCGTGCTTCTCCAGGCCCATGCCCCTCTCTACCCACTCGACACTGCCCATCTGCGTTAGTCGTGACAACGCTCGCGCGAATGCGAATGCCTCTTCTTCACCAGTGAAGAGGTTTGAGTTCTTCAGCTGCGCCGCGTGGTGCTCCATGTCGTCCATCAGATGGCTCATCGCGTCGTCGACATCCTGCTGCTCGTCCGTGCCCTTGCCTCCAGACTTCTGCTTGAGAGACTCTATCAGTTCCTCGCGGGATACGAAGAGCTCCGTCAAAGGCACAGCTGTCGTGAGCACAAGCTTCGCATGAGACTCGTAGACCGCATCGATGAACGTGATGAACCTCCTGGCCAAGTCTCGCTGGCGATAGTTCATCCCAGGAATGTCGGTGACGATGAAGGCATCGTATGAGCGCATTAGCTCAATGAAGTCGGCTGCTGATGTCGGGCGGCCGATGAGCTCGTCGAATGTAAACCATGCACACCTTCCGCTGACTCTCGGCACGAAGATCTCTCGGCCCCAGACGCGCTGCACTTCGGAGTGTGGTTCTGAGCTCTCGGGATCACCCAAGAAGCGGAACCACTTCTCTGCATGTGAGGCTGCGTGGCTGTCGAGCGGCGTATGGTAGACTCCCGATGGCGGCCGAGGAATCTTACGGTAGTCGGTGGGCGAGTCGAGGTTGATGACATGCAGACGGCTCTTCAGGAGCTGGATCGCAGGGATGAACGACTCTCGCTGGATGCCGTTTCTGTATAGCTCGTCGGGATGTCGATTGGAGGTCGTGACAAGCACAACACCATGAGACATGAGAGCTTCTAGTAACCTACTGCGCATAAGCGGGCGAGACCCAGAGTCCATAGTTATCGAGGCCTTACCTCCGCAGAATCATAGCGTCTGCCACGTCTGTACACTGGAACTCGTCAAAGCACAGCACGTTTCCATGCTCGGCAATGTCCGCCGCCACGAACGGTACTGCATCAACGTCGTTTCCATACTGCATCTTCATGCGGTGTAACCGCTTGTGCACATCCTGCATGAAGTTGTGAAAATGTATCCTCGTCTTTGACCGAACTGAGCTAGGCAGTGTGTCGTAAAACAAATCCATCAGCATCGTCTTTCCACTCCCAACGTCTCCATATAGGTAAAGACCACGCGGTAAGTCATTGGGAATATCTTGAATCGTGGCCTTCTTTGCGCCACCGCCAAATAGGGACCCGAACAGCGACTTTTTGGGTTTGAGGTCGTCGAGATTAGGATGCACGACTGGTCGCGCCTTGTAGTGCTTGAGCTCGTCGTGCAGATGCTGGAGGTTCTGGATGATTCCTGTGTCACATGTCAGCACGCGACAGTGAAGTGCCGCAAGGCGACACGAAACACTGACCTCGTTGATGCTCGTCGTTTCTGATCCTGCCTGCTGCGACGCGGCGGTCGTACTCCTGGATCGGTCCTATATCGTCTTGATTGACTATGTCTTATAAGTATGGTTTTGACCTCCAGGAGCGACTACTCGTACCATTCTCAACGGTGGAAGCCGCCACGGAGGCTCGCTGCCTCCGGCTACCGACGAAGCTCGCCGGCAAAACGAGCCTGGGGCGGCCGCTCTTCACACACTGCAAACTACCAAGAGCTGCCCTCCTGCATGGCGCACTAGCAGCAGTCTGTATACACCGTACGGCGAGAGCGCGCCGCCTATAGCGTTTGGCGAATGGTCGCGGAGGAGCCGTCAGAGGGCGTCGGAGGAGAGGGGTAAGTTCAGCGCACGCGCGCATTTCGTCGGCGGTAGATTCAAAACACAAAGACGGGCTATATATCCATGAGGGTATCGACAAACATAGTACGTATATACCGCAGAGAAGACTTAAAGGAAGAGTGGTGAAGGTGGCAGACGTAAATCGCAAAAAGTTGGAGTTAAAGTGAGCAATTGCAATCCAAGCTAAAAACGCTCCGTCACAAGGCCAAATCGCCGTAGCTCCGGTATTGCGGCATCAGATCTTTTGTCCGCGGCGGCAATAGTCGGGATTGGCGCTGACTTTGTGCCAAAGAAAGCCCAGCCGAGGCCGTGCGTCTGCTGGAATGTGGGGACCCGATACAGTAACCGTGGGGTTGGTTGAAGGCACAGCGGCGGCGGCGACTCCCGACCAGTTGACGACATTCTTGCTCCATCTGTCAACACAAACTTCAAACGTTCCATTTTCGACAACCTTCTTCTTCCAATCCGCTATATTTTGTGCGTACATGGCCGTGTTCTCTCATGGCAAATGAAGAGTGACTGAGCTTTCGTATGCAAGACAGCTCCTAGCTATTTAAAGAGTGTTAGGGACCAGTAGCTCGGCCAATTCTCGGGAAGTCGGACAGCAAGTACAGGGCCTTGTTGGAGAAGCAGATTCCATGTCATAAATCTGGTCTCGACATTATTGCGACAATGTTCACTTATGTTGTATGCATTATGAATCTGTCGTTTCCGACCTTAGATACTACTGCTGTCACTATATATCTCATCAATATTCTCCGATCTCTTGCCTTGTATCTTTTCAAAAAGTTTTACGACAACCAGCTTAGCTATTGCAAGCAGACCGCTGAGGATGCCGCTTGACAGGTCTCCATCTCTATATTCTCGCCAGGTAAGTCGGGCGAAAGATATGAACATGAAGAAAAGCAAGACGACGATGACACTTGCCGCGCTGCCTCCCAAGATCCGCAGTCCCATGCCGACATCGAAGAACATTCCAGTAAGAAATGATGCGAGGATAACCAACATTTCAAGTTTGAAAAGTTCGAGGAGATAGTGCACCATAAGGTGTTAGAAGAGACCCTCTTCTTTCTCTTTGTGAATACATGACGAACTTGCATGAACGAATGACGGTGGTCTGTCCAGACTCGTTGTACGCTTCGATATAGCCGGTATGGTACCAATGTGGTGAAACCTACCGCCAAGCAAATGCCTATCCAGTCATACCAAAGCTCCCCGAGGTTTCTCGCACGATTACCCATGGATAGCAGCGAGGCCGCCAAGGTCAAGGGTAAGAAGATAGAGGCGACAAGTGCCAGTCGTCTGGCACTAAGTGCCTGTCGCCTGTTCCAGTCATTCTCGGCCAGCATGAGGCGGCGCTCATTGTCCCGCTTGATATCGTTGATGGCGCTCCAGAGAGAGCTATTCGTAGCTGAGACCTCATATTTCAGTCTATTCCAGCGCTTGACATTTGCACTGTCGATATCGAAAGACGTCTCGATCAAAGTAAGCAAATACTCCAAGCATGCTCCCATGTCATGTACCGAGGAAGCAAGATTATCGATGGTGGCTGTATCTTCTTGGAGTGCTGCAGCTGGAAAATGAGTGACTGATGCAGTTGTAATCTTGCTCCACTTCACCAGGTGCTGCAATGCAGTGTGCCACGTATCGACAGTAGCTCGCAGCAGATCTAGAGTGATGAGCATCCGTATCATTTCGGCATTGCCGCAAGCAAGAAATAGCGAGTTTCGTTTTTCGTCCAGAATTAGTTCTTCAAAAATGTCTCTTGTCGGGAATAGATTGTTCTCGTCCTCATTTGTTGGGAATTCGCAGCTCACTTCGAAAAGGAAAGTGTTAGTACCTCTGGGAACAAAGAAGGAATTATCCCCTAACCTGTTAATCGTCCATGACGGTCGGATTGAGATGTCACGAACACGATAAAGTGGCCAAATCCAGGAGTCCGGGGGAACTCCGCTCCAGTTCGTTTATGCTCTATGTCAACAGCAAGGGTGTGCAAGTACAGGCCTGTAGATTGCGACCAGCTCAGAACCGGGGCAATCCTTTTCCTACGCCAAACCGTATAATAAGGAGAACAGTCCCATATCACCTCAAGGGTAAATATGTTGCTTCTCGTCTCCTCCAACAGGCTTTGCATGCGCCACAAGTCAAACCTCTCGCGCAAGCGCCACTGAAAGGTCGCATTGATGGCAAGTTTCTTACTGCGGTAAAGTGGCAGCAAGTATTCATTCACGCCTTCCCCTTCTTTGTGTCTTCTCTTTCGCACCAGAGTTCGGAGTCTCGCTCTCTTTCTTGGGCTCGATGCATTCCATCCGATGTCGCGGGTGTCAACAATTCGCAGGCGTGTGGTAGACTGATCCGACGTTGGCGGCACCTGCGGTGGATGACCTCTATCACCTTTAAATTCCGGCTCGATGGTCTCAATTTCTCCGTTATCGTTATTGATAGCAAATATCCCAAGAGCTGGGCCCATGATAAAGGCATCTTTCTCATCCCGACAATTGTCTCTTCTGCCAGATGAACTAGAGTCAACACGCCTTCGCCTTGGAGATTCCCAATGCCTATTCCACATGCCAGATCGGCCTCTGTGGGCGTACATGAATCTTTCGTCCGTGCGCGGACTGGGCTCACGCAGTATCCCTGCGATTACACCTCCAAGGAACCCTTTACGGCGGCGAGGTCGAGAGTCACGGCTCCAATTACGCGAACTGGCGGCCTCGATATCTGAAGTCCGGGGGGTTGGAACCTCATCGGAAGCGGCCGCGGTCTCCCTAGCTTGGCCTTGGTCTGATTGTGTTTCACTCATTTTGTCGATGTATGTAGTTGTCAAAATAGTTGGAATATAATGAGGCTGGCTGTTCTATTGAGCTGAAAGAAAATACCCACAGAATTGATGACATGTTGCGCCAGGCCATTTATGGTTAGTGCAGCTAATCTTTGAGCTCACAGACTGAATGGACAATCTATTATTAACCAGAGATAATCATTCTGATTTTGTCTTTTCTGGCATCAGTTTGTTTTTCATGCGAACCTACGATCTGTTGGTGTGTTGGAGCTTAGAAGTGTTGGTACTACTATAGCGCATATTATCAAGTTGCTAGACCTCAATATGGGGCGCCCCAATCAGTACTTCCAGTAGTTGCAGATAATTAGTGTCCATATAGATCGTAAGGCGTCTGTAAACCATTTTTGCTTTCATTAACAAATGCACCTTAGATACAACATTGTCACATAAAAGCCTACAAATACCACAGCTGGCGAAGTATATCTAGGTGTGCGAAATTATCATGAAATGAGGCGGCTGGCGAAGCCATTGAATTATTGCAGAATACAGTACTAAATGTCCTGGTGTGCGACAGTAACAACTCAAATACTCTCCAACAAATTTGACCAAGTCAGCGAATCCAAAATGAGATGACAAACAGTGCCGTAGTGTACAGCATAAGAAGCACATTCTCGACCTCATACACCCATGTGATCCACCTAGTCTGAGTCTTCTTTGTCCATTCTTTTGGGTATGCCACTCCTGTATGGAGGTCTCTGTCTAAGAGGTCTTCTCTCCGTGGACAATCTGGAGGCCAGATTGTATAACCAATTGGCACCCAACACGACAGGGCACAGCTCAGCCAGATCAGTGGCGGCCAGGCGGCATGAGTGAGAATGCCGATCAGCTGGTCGGTCCTGGTTTGATGGTCCACGAAACACCAATACGTGGAGAGAATAACGGACCCGATAGTGAAGAAAATGTACCCAAGATGAAGGTAGCATTTGTAGTCCCAGATTGTGGCTTTGAGTCTCCGCCACAGAGGTGCTCGAAGCTGCCTATCTCGCTCATGGAGTTCACTCTTCTGTGATCCCGAGGAGGTGAACACTGCAACTTTTCCGCCAAGCCACTTTGGCAGGATAAAAGTCCGTGCCACGGCAACCGAATGAACTGCAAGGGGAATGTTGTCAGTCGATAACTTAATAGAGCCGAGAGGAGAGAAAGAGTCTGACTCCGGGACAACTCACAAATAGCCATCCACATTACCGCTCTTGCCTCCCTTTGGCCGGTTCGCCATCCGGTCGGCAGGTAAGCTATGTACTCATTCAGTCGGTTCAAGACCATTGAGCCGAACATAGCCCATATCAACCACCTCAGCTGGTCATATGAACTGAACGGCACAAGGTTACCATGAGCAACCAAAACGATGGGCGAGGTAAACATAGATGCCACCAAGAAAATAGTGAAGAGAGACGAGACCGTATAGACAAATCCACATAAGCGCTGAGTAAACGTCATATTCTTGACAAGCGATCCAAAGATGCAGAAACGAAGCTTAAGTGATGTTTGGACAGTTCCAATGGTCTGTAGAGCAACATCATTAGCACATGCTGACGCATAGTCACTTCACGGACGCTTACCCAGCGAGTTCTTTGTTTCAGATGACCGACTAGAGATTCCGGAACAGTACCGAACTGCAGTGGCTCATGGACAAAGGCCGTGGACCATCCTGCACCCAGTAGCATACTAGAGCAGCAGACATCCTCTGCGTGTGAGCCCGTTGGAAACCCTCCAATCTGCTGTAAAGCAGCGCGGCGAACGACGTAACCAGAGCCGGTACACCAGGCAACACCCATAGCATCTTTGACGGGCTCCGAGACGTGAACAAATGTGTCTAAGCTTTGACAAAGTGGGTCGTCTTTGGGAACATTATAAAAAAGCTAATTTAAGAAGGTCAACTCCATGTCTCTCCTCTCAGGCACATTTTGAGAAACTCACCTGTGGT